CATGGGGGGGGGGGGGGGGGGGGGAAGCAGGGAAAGAAAGCAGTGTGGTGGGGAAAGGGCATCCATGGGCTGTGCAGCTTGGGTGGCTGGGGCTCTCTCACGGGTCTTGTAGCTCCTGGCCTCGTGGTAGCTAGACAGCCATGCTGTAGTGTATTTTGTTAATACCTGTGGTTAATTGGTTGATGATGCTATCTTGATGACTGGTGAGTTTGTGTTTTGCACTTTTATATGAACGCTTTGAGATTTGTATGCTTGCGTGACTGGATTAATTGAATGGCTGTTGCCTCCAGGGACCAACATGAAAATGAGATGTTGCATCTCAAGAGACTATCACAGCAAGAAAATTATAAATAAATATAAAGGCTCTTCTCAAACCAATTCACTGATGAACCTTGAATCAGTTTAGGCTGCATTTCCTTTTAATTAAAAGAGTCATGAATGCCTAGTGAGAAACTAACTATTTCTAAAGGAGCCTAAAAATTGATACATATAATTTGAGTGGGAAACATGCTTCGTTTGGGGGTTTTGTTTTTTTTTTAACAGATAGTCTGAGTCTGAAATCTGATTGGAGCCAAACTTGGGGAAATTTGTGGGATTTGGGTGCTGGAGTTGTGAGCTTGTCTGTGGGCCTGGGGACCTTACAGGTTTCTGGCTGGTCTCTAAAGTTGCCGGTTCAAGCACAGTCTGATTCTGATTCCATCCTGTAACATCAAAAACTCCTTGAACACGGCTCTGCCATTCCTGTCTTTCCTGGGCTGGGTTTTGCATGTCCTCTGTATTAAGTCCCCAGAGGTTTTCCTCTCTCAAGTATTTTTTTGGCTGGAGGGATTTTTTTGGTCAGCGCCTTTTATGTGGTTCCAGTTTACCCAGTGGGACATTTGCATGGCAGATGTCTTGGCGTCATCCTAAAAATGTATTCCATCCTTTTCTATCTTTTCTATTTCACCCAAATTCGAAGATAAGGAATTCTTGAAGACTGATGAATTTCAGTGTTTGTTTTAGTTTCACTGAATTTGATACCTAGTATTTTTCTGCAACCTTTGCATTATATGACAATGTGGTACAGTTGTGAACACATTGTCATATAATATTATCTAATATAAATGTCATATAATATCTTAATCTGGAAAGAAGAAAAAATTTGGTAAACTTGTGACAAGGGTGGGCTTTCATCCTTGCCCTTACTTGTCAGTACTACCCCAGCTAGGGTGACCACCTTTTCAAAAGGGTCTGCCTTCCCCAGCCTTTCCCTGCCATTGCTACTACTGCCAGCACAGCCAGACCAGAACCAAGCAAGTAGAGGGGGGGGTGGATGCAGGCTGCCCGTTGCAGGCTCAGGGCTCCCCACCATGCTGCCTTTCCATCAGGAGCCCTGCACCAGCTGTGTACCTCCTGCCTGCCCAGCAGCAGCAGGGAGCGCAACTCAATGCTGCCACTACTTGCATTGCTGCCAGGGGGGTGCCAAGCCATGGTGGCACAGCCAGTGAGAGGCCCCTGGGGGCTGGGGAGCCCTGAGCCCACAGCAGGCAGCCCTCATCCTCCCCCACCCCGCACACAAATCTGGGTGGGGGGGGGCACATGCTCCCCACCCCCTGGACGAACCACCCATGGCTCCATGCTGCTTCATGCCCTGACTGGGCAGAGTCCCCATCCTCTGACCCACTCCCTCTCTCACCATGGGGGTCTCAATCTGCTGCCCCCTCCAGTCTTCCTTATCCCTCCCCGCTCATAAACTTACCTGTAGGGAGCTGGTCTCCTGGGTGCCTGGCTGTGTTTCCAGCCAGGTGCATGTGTGTGCATTTGCATGTGGCGCCCCCTGCCCCCCGCTCCTAGCAGCCCCTTGCAGGCTGGAGCACTGCCAGCTTGCAAGGGGAAACCCACTGTCCCACAGTCACGCAGTCTGAGACCAGGACATGAGGTGCCCATTGCAGGAATGTCCTGCCTAATTAGGGACAGGTGGTCACTGTAACCCCAACCTACTCCACCTCCTTTTTCTTGCCTCCCATGGTAAACAATGTATTTGGAGGGAGGCTATTATCCTGGCTTTCTTACTGCCCTCTTAGCCATGCCCACACCTTGCTGCCAATTCCCCATCTGCCCTCTTTTGGGACTCTCCTCCTCACTCTCTCTCCTTCTGTACCTAGCTGTGTCCCATGTGGCCACGTAGATGCACACAGCTGGGCTGGGAGCACCGCACCTCTGTGGGCAGGTGGCTATGCAGGGGCTAAGGTGAATTTTGGGAGGGCTGTACCCCCCCCTCCAAAGCGCCTCCAGCGCTGCTGCTCACCTGCCTGCAAAGATGCAGTGCACCCCCCTCCTCCCCCGAGGCATGGCATGGCACACCTGGCCCAGCCCCCACCCCTAGGCATGGCGCAGCACTCCTGGCCTGGCCCAGTCCTGACCCTGCCCCCCAACCCCATCCTACATCCAGCTTGCAGGAAAGCAAAAGCCCCTGCGCTAAACTTGGCACCACTTTTGTCTCCCCACTCCCCGCTTTTGTCTCCCCAAAACCACAGCTTTTGTTTCCCCACTGATGAGGATCCTGGGGGGCCCTGATTGGAAGTAGCCCTTGGGCCCAGGCCCAGCTGGCCCATCTGTTAATTCACCTATGGCCTTGCATCCCTTGCAGGTTGCTCTCTGAATCCTGTTTCCGCTGTGAGTCTCTGCAACCCGGCTTCCAAAAAGCATACGCCACTCTTTCCATTGTGCCTGAGTAAGAGGGTTTGGGTTCCCTGTTACACTTGTCCATGAAAATCAAAGGCCTGAGTCTCATTTAACCTAAGACCCTTTCACATTTACACTCAGGTTAAGATTCTTTAATGCTCCAGTGACAGTGGAAATGTCAATCAGACTCCGTATTTGAAAATACCACTAGATTTAATCAACTAAGACAATACATAAAAACGTGATTCTCTCATATGATGATAAGGATGGCCCGAGCAGCAATATTTGGTTCTAGATCTTGATTTTCATGGCATTCAAGGGGATCTTATGTTCCAATTGAAATCTAACCTGTGTAGCAGTCTTTTAACCAGTGGACTTTGGAACCTGATTCAAACTTTTCCATACTTTGAAGAGTTTTGAATCATTGTTTCAGTTCAAGACTACATCCACAATAACATTTTTACCTTCGAATTGAAGGGGATGCTCCAATATTGAGGTTTATATGCAGAGGGGAAGCCATTTTGAGACGAGAGTCACCTGCCCTCAAATCAATCGGCCGTCATGGAGTAGAAGCCAATGGTGTGTGTGTGTATGCTACTGCATTAAAAGCTATGAATTTAAGGGGGAGATCCTTTGAAACAAGAAGCTGTATTTTTGAGGGGAAAATCACCACCAAAGTAACAATAATACAGAAAATAGTTCTCCTCCAAATTGAACTTTATTTTCATATGGAGCCTGTGTTCAAATAAGCATACGTGAGTGATGTCAGGACATTGCTACCAACTGTCCTTACTGTTCATGGTGAAAAGGAAAAAGGAAAAAGCTGTTAATTAGAAGGTTGAACCATGGTTTGGAGTGGGGGGGAAGGGGCAGGGGGAGTGGGGTATGCTGAATTGGAAGCATGGAACTGCAGGCTGGCTTATTTGGGGTGCAAAGAAGTGTTTACCACACCCAGTCTAGGTGTTAGGGGGTTTATTTAAATAAGTCACCTACACCTAAACTGGAAGCAGATGTTTGCTGCTCCTAGGAGTGCCATGTTACATGCATTCGCCACTTCTGGAAGCTGCATGGGGAAATTAGAGTAAGTAACTGGGGTGGAAGGAGGAGCAGGGCGGAGGGTGGTTGCTGCATTTTTGGCAGGGAAGGGGTTGGAGGGCTAAAAATAGTGTGGTCAGGGTTGAGGGGTGGGAATAGCGCAGCCTTGGGGCTGGGGCAAGCCGCTGGGATTTCCCAGGACTGCACAGGCATTAGTGAGATCAGGTTAACTCTTTCTTAGGTTGGGTTAACCCTTTCTTAGATCAGATTAATTTAATCTGATCTCAATCTAAGTTAGTGTGTATTCGGGTGAACTAATTTCTGGGTGTACCATTTCTTGCCTGATTTTAACCACTGTGAAAACCTTCACAGATGGGAATTTAAATTGACCTAACCTTGGTTAGGCCGATATAAATCTAATGGTTGTATATACCCTAAGACTACTGAAAGTAAATTGTCCAGTCTGAACATGAGATACAATTTGTAATTAAATTCACATTTTTGAGAGATTCTTGTCAATATAAAACCTAAACTTTTTTATCAGTGTTGTTGCAGGAAGAGCTAACATACAGATTATGAGTTTCAATTAGTTGATTTCATCACTAGTATTTGCCATTTAAAATATTGGGTGTGAACCTTGAATCACTGTTGCGTATGTTTCTTGCTAACATAACAAGCAACATACGGCTATTTTTAGTGCATGATAATAAGGCTTTATCTCCATTAAAATAAATTGGAGTTTTGCCATTAACTTCCATAGAGCCAGAGTTTCACTCTTGATCATACATGAATGCAGGAGCAGGTTCATAATAAGGACAGAAATTAGAGAAAGGTCACCAGATTATATCCAGTCTTTCCTACCTCCCCATGCCAGAAATTGAGGAGTGTTTCCTACAGTATATTTTCAATTTATTGTAGCTACTTATTCAAAGATAACATATCCCATTAGATACAAAAGCCAGTGCTGTCTGACTTTTCTTCCATTTGTTTCACTTTTATAATAGCCCATACTGAGTGAAGGATATAAAGATGCAAATTTGAATATTAATGACAGCAACAGATATTTGTTGATCTTCTTACACTTAAATTGATTCTGCTGCATCTAGTGAAAAAATCAGGATATTATTAAGGAGGCAGAAGTTTCAGAGCCCCAAAATAGTAAAGCTGTTGTTTCCTTATTAGTCTTTTCAGCCAGAACTTGACTTGCCCACGCTGGTGGCCTCTGCGGTTGCAGGGTGCAAGCCCCTGCCTCTTGCACTCTTCCTCATGCAGCGTCTCATTGAAACTGTATTCTCTTTTAGGTGCCAGGAGAGAATGAGAAGCACTGGAAACCAGCACTAGTTGTCCTGACTGAGAAGGACCTTTTAATATATGAGAGCATGCCACGAATGAAGGAAGCTTGGTTCAGCCCTCTTCATACCTACCCCCTGCTAGCAACCAGGTAGCTTAATATTTTTGCATTTCAGTTGTTGCTGCAAGTGGCTGAGTCAGTGCTGTGGGCATGAGTTGAAGTCCTACTTTAGACTGCCAAGGACCCTAACCCAGATGAAAATGTGGACCTGGTCATTCAGGCTGCAGAATCAGCGGCATCTGGCATGGTGCCAGCCACGTCATTCCCTTATGTGCCACAGGCTACAGAACTGGTATGCCTTAACTGCGCCAGGCTGTTAGGCTTAGGTGAATCTTTGACTTTGAGTTTGGTTGCAGAGTGGAAGAAGAAGTACTGGAAATCTGAAAAAAGCTGCATTTCTGTCTGTGAAATTTCCAATCCAGTTTGCAGGCCCAAGGGCCTGACATAAGCATCTGAAGTTTTGAATGCTTATGTGAACTGCACCTGAAATTCCTGCCCATGAGGTCAATGTAGTCACACATTGCAACTCTTGGCAGGAAACACAAAACCTAGTAGTGTTTCCACAGCTGAATGGTGGGAGGCTCACCCACCCAGGGGTATCCAGTTCCATCTAACACAGAGGGACAGATGGTGAAATATCTCAATGGATGGAGTGCACAAAGGGTGTTGCTAAAATGTTCTCTTTAATTAAAACAAACAAATAACAGTGAATGGGTTGTGTGCTCAAATTGTTAATTTTATGAATGCAGTACTTTTTCATGTGCAATAATGAGAAGTCAATCTGTATAGGTTTTTCAGTGGTGACTAGTGATTTTGAATATTCAATCTGAGGCACCTTTCAAAGTGTTTGATTTTTAGTAAGTACCAAGTACCCAGCTTCTGAAAATCAGGCCCCTTCAAAATATCTGAAGTTAGTCCCCCCAGACTCTCCACCTCTACTAATGAATCACTAGAAATGTCTTAAATTAGTAGAATCACTATATAAATGTTCCTAAACTTGCCTGCTTTAGTTAATTACATGCAAATAGTGCTTTGATTTTTACATTATTTTTAAGAATAAGTTAAGTAGTCTACTTGCTAGTTTAAAACAGTGAGACCTGCTGAGAGAAAATCACCATTAAGGCATGGATAGGAGTTTGGTCTCCATTATCCTTTGTGTCCAGAATGTGGACAAGCACAATAGAAATGCAACGTGTTTAACTGAATGAGGTGGAAGGAAAGAAGGGATTGAATGAAATAGTTCCATACTTAGGTTCATAGGAAAATAGGGCTAGAAGGGGCCTCATGAAGTCATCTAGTCAATTCTGTCCTCAGGGCAAGATCACCCTATTAAACCATTAAAGTTAAGTATCTGTCTAAACTGCTCTTGAAAATCTCCAGGGATGGAGATTCTGTAACCTCTGTATGTAGCCTGTTCCTGTGCTTGACCACTCTCAAAATCATCCCAACAATACTGTCACTAGTAGTTGTCATTCGAAAAACGATTGCTCAGGTAACACGCAGAGCACAAGTGCACACTTTTGTCCCCTCATTGTTTTTCTTCGTTGTCTGAAGTATTTTCCAGTTGTGCTACATACTTCATGCTGTCCTAGATCTCAGAAATTGGCTTGTGTAATGTATGGTGAAGTTGCATCTAGAAGCGAAACCATCAGACCTATAAGTATCAGCCACTTTGGCTTCATTTTTTTTTTCACCACACATGTACAGAGCCTCAAGCTATGGAGAAGTATTCTGCATTTGTTTCATACACTGAGCATTATCTATGGTTTTTGACACTAGCTCACATCATGTTTGTCTGCCAGAATGGTCTTGAACTGGTGAAAGAACTGCTGCTCTTATTGTCTCTGTCGTGCTCCGAGTCTGTATGGGATTATTTCTCAATACCCTTCTGTTCAGCCAGGCCGGTACCAGCCAGGCAAAAATAGTGGTGCCATCAGTTGCAAGCTCATTAGTTCCTTGTACTTCTTGTTTACCCCAGCAATTTTTTTTCCTAATGATCTAGGATTTTTTTGCCCAGTAAATCAAAGAAAATTGATTATCAGTGGAAACACACTAGAGTTTATTCTGGACTAGTCTGTGTATACACAATAGACTTTCAGACAGCCTTAGAAAGAAATAACTTTCATCCTCATTTGCCAGTGTTAGCATAAAGTAAGGTGATCACGCTTTGTGTTACAAAACACAGGCAAGCGCGTGATCTCAAGCTGCCTCAAGTCACTTAAACTACTGTCCTTTTATTGCATTTGCCTGCAGTATTAGATTTCCTGTTTAAAACTGGATAAGAGGTTGCAGCAAGAGCCTGTTAGAGCTTCATGATGTACTGATATGGTGTCACCAGGCTCTGGCCCTGTGCCTAGTCCAGGGTATGTGGCAAGAGTGAAGCATTTCATAAGCGTGTGATAATGTCTAACAAGACCATAGCATTGCATCTGGATGACTGGGCCACTCTTGGGATGACATATCACATCCCGTTGCAATATCTTCATTTGTGGAGGATGTCAGAAACTTTTGATGTAGTCCTGGAAGGGGGCAGTGCACAGCTGAGAAAGCTGAAGTGGAACTTGAAATGTGGAAGTCAGATTTAACCTTTGTCCATGTTCCCAGACAAAACTTTTAGAAAACATGAACAATGAGGACAACAGACCATGCATTAAGTGATACCAAAAATGATCTGTGCTTCCAGATGGGGCTTACAAAAATCGAGAGTTACAAAACACATACTTCATATGGAGCCTTTTTTTCATTTTTTGTTTCCTCTGCTTGTGAGATTTGTATCTTACCAGCATATTGGTATTACTGCAGTGCATTGAGCGTGATACACAACAGGAAAAATCCTTGCCCAGGAGACAGACTGGAGACAGTTTAGTGTCATTATTGCTGGCATGTGATGTTACATGCTGTGAACTGCACAAAAGTCCACATTATTCATCTAAATCAAGAGGGATGGCTAGACTATTCCACTTAATTTGAGAGTATGATTAATCACAGGCACATTGAGTCATGTTGGCAGGACAACGAGGGGAACCTTCATCATTGGTGTCCTTGCTGTACCTGCTTGAGGGACTAAAAGTAGCATTTCAGTTTCTTGGATTTTCCGTTTAGTACTTGGAATGCAATGCTTATTTTGCTGCTGATGAACTATGATATGCCAATGAAGTATTTCATATTTCTTTATTACTTTCCCTTGTTTATTTTTCTTCAAACCCTCAGCCACAGAGTCAGTGCTCTGCTTATGCCCTGTCTGAGCTCTCCTCCCCCCAAAAATAGATCTGCTTAACTGGCAAAAACCATCTTCATGGAAATTTCCCCCCCTAGATCCAGGGAAATTTTTCAAATGAAACTAAACTCCATTTCCAAAGTAATTTGGGAACCTAAGGATGACTGTACACATGCAGAGAGATTTCTCTGATGCTCTGTAATTACAGCGCATTGGAACAGACTCAATTAATCGAGTCTGCTGGAGTGTGCTAATTAGCACGCCCCAGCCAGCCTCCGCATCTCATGTATCAGCATCCCCGCACTTCAAAATGGCTGG